CAGCTTATTTCTTCCTGCTGGTCTACAGCTTGCGACAATATATCTACATTAGGGATGTCGGATAATATGGGCGGACCGATATAATCACACCGATATTAGCATATTATGTAATATCTGTAAGAATTATCAGTTTTTCCTCCGATAATGAAAGCCCGGTAACGCAATGCCTCGGTTTCATAAAATGATGTGTGCCCTGAAAATAGTTTTGGGGATAAACGTCTGCATATTAAAGTGAAAGTCACTAGATGGCAGCATTGCAGCTCATTAAATTAGTCTCATACTCATACAGTGGTTTGTACAGATAAATAAATACATTTTACCAGGCCTATATCGGTATCAGTTGATATCAGAATCGGAAATGAAGTGTTTGGACAATATCTGCGTTACAGCAAAAAGTTAACACCAGACATCCCTAATCTCCATATATTATATGTACAGTATTAAGCACAGCACGGCTGGGATGTAGCTTATATTTGCTGTGTGCTTATTTTCCATGAAATATTAGAACTGAATCTAATGGTGGGTTTTTTTCATCATTGCATTTGACTGAACCACACTATATAAAAAAGTGACATTTTGCCCTAACGTGCACAAAAGTACGAGACAGTAAAGGTGGCTCTGTGAGTGGATCTGTCTGTTTGGCTTCTGGTCAAAAACAGCTGCTCCAGACGGCCGTTTGACTCACATTACATCTCATTGATTCACAGTCAGAGGCAGCAGCAGGAGCCGATTGTCCACAACATGCTATCCTACGAACCAGGCCACAGAGAGACGTCACAGCAAAGAGACGCAATATGAAAATGAGGGGGAAAATCAGCTGCCACTCTTTATCAGATCATTTTCAAAATATCATCTGCTGCCAAACTGAAAAAAAAACAAGGAAGCATGAATGAAAAATGGCACGTCTTGTTTCAGTGGCGGTGGTGCGGATGACAAAGATTTACGATTCATCACATTCGATGTGCACAGAAATATCATTCTGTATGCTTGGGAGGCCATGGCTCATTTCCCTCTTGCAAATGGAAGCTGCAAGTGAAAAGAGGGAGGGCAAGTGCTACTGGCAGGCTGACAGTGCTGTGTGGAAAATGTTATGTGACTGGTGCTGAGGCTCGCACAGTCCCCCAGTGTGCTCCACAGAAGGGAAGGTGGTAGTGAGCCAGAGAATGGGGGGTCGGCCTGGGGATTTCCTTTTCAGGAAAGTTTAGGCATCAAAGTTTAAACCTCTCCAAATTTATACCCCGCTGACTCCTGACACAACAGGGAGGTGTCTGATTGTTGGGGGGAGGGGCCTCCATCAATCATCATCATCAGGTGTACATCCTTAATTTCCCAAAGGAAACTCCAAAAGGGATCTATCTATCTATCTATCTATCTATCATCATGTCAGTTTGAATAGTACCCCATTATAAAATCAGAGGCACAGATAGAAGTGAGGAGGTACTTGTCAGCAGTTAAAGTCCAAGAACTGAGGTAGTCCTGAAAGTTACATAAGCTCCAGATATAAATACACATTTTTGTCACTGTTAAAGAGGGGCTGGCCGTGAGTGGGGATAGAATTGGAGCACCCTGTTCCTTTTATGCCCAGCGAGTTATAGCGTGTGATCTCCAGCAGAGAACCTACTTCAGCATGGTGCATACTGTAGGGACATGTGCTGCAGTAACCTTAAAGTCAAGATGAAAAAAGGAAACACAGAAGACCTGTTGGAGTTAATGCACATATTCATGACATTCAAAAACAACATGCTTATCATTTATTTCATATACTGTTCTCAGTACCAAAATGGTCCAAAAATTGCCACAAACAAAAAGCGTACACTTTGAGGTTGGTCTGTCAGGTTATGTTTGTTAAAGGTTTGGTTAAACCCTACAGGTCACAAGTGGTCACCTGTGCTGGTTTTTTTCCAGGAAGTGGCTGTTTTCCAGGATGTCCAATGGGCTGTTAGTAAATGATATGCAAAGCATCATTCTCATGCTCACAGACAGGAGTCCTGCAGTTGCTGCTGAGGCTACCAGATGCTTATTTCTTGTAGCATGTGTAAGCTAACTTTTGTTTAGTCATTCATCTTCTATTGTTATTGTTTCTCAGGGTGATGGTGGGAGCTGAAGTAGTCATGTCACCAGTCCATCAGGATCATGTACACAAAAAAAAAAAACACGGTCAAACCTTTTGTCTTTAAATTGGGGATGTCCGAAAATATTGGCCCGATATTAGGATATTACGTAATATCTCCAAAGATCGCTATCGGTTTTTCCTCCAATAATGAGAACCTGATAACGCAACTCCTGGTGAAAGCCAGGCGTTGCGTTTTGGGGATAAACGGCTGTATATTAAAGTGAAAGTCACTAGATGGCAGCATTGGCAGCTCATGTAATTAATCTCATAATCATACAGTGTACAGATAAATAAATATTACTAGGCCTATATCGTTATCGATATCCAAAATCGTTTGGACAATATCGGTATATCGGATATCGGCACAAAGTTAATATTGAACATCCTTACTTTAAATCTTAAATTACTAATTAAAGCATTTATTGAAAAAAACATTAAAAAATATTTATTTTTATTTATCTTAAATTTTTTCCAGGGCAAAAGATAATTATTTTTGAAATCTTTTTTCTGGCCACATTAGTAAAATTATTTGACAAAATGAATAGAGTTTCCAAAATAACATGGACCTCATTATTACTGAATACTAAAATGTTTGTACTGATCACTGATCCACACCGAAGGGAACATTTATTAGTTATTCTGGGTCAGAGCAGACGTGGTAGTCGTTTGTCTGCTGGTGCCTTACTTTGCTGAGTCTTTGGCCTAGTCTTTGACCTAGTTGACATAGCAGTGGTTTACTGTGTTATTGTAATCATTGTGAGTAAAATAACACAGTCGTCTATTTGGCAATGAGAACGTTCACAGAATATTTACTTCATTTCAGTAATGGCTGTTAAAGTAAGAAGGAGCAGCAAACACCTTTCACGCTCTCTGGTGTTTCCAGTAAAGGTGTAGCTTTGCCCAAAAGGAATGCTAATTGTATGTGCCATTATGAATGTATGCATATTAAATAACATAAAAACTCAAAGACTCAGCATATGTTACAGCTACAGTGCAGAGGGATGGTGTCTTTAGATGTTACTGTAATTAACTGGACATTCCAAGCTGGACATCAACAGCCAAACAGCATGTCCCAGACTTTCACAGCTGCAGTGTTCCTTGTCCTTGCAACCTGGCCAGACTGCTGTCTTCCAGCGGCCTGTAATGAATGTGTTTCCTAACTCCATTTTTGGCTGTCCGTGTATGGAGAAATGTTCAGAGACCTCAGACCATGACCACCTGAAATGGACAAAAGCGATCGCTAGTATACAAAGCACATGGATTCTTCTGTCACTCTACTTAAACAGACTGACTCCATACTCAAATCTACATTTTAATTTTATAGGAAATAAACACGTCACAGAAACAAGTACATCAATAGGAAACATGGGTGTGACAGAGGACAGAGAAGTCATGGCGGCATCTTTGGATGAGGTGGTGGAGACGAAATCCAGGATCCCTCATGTTGACTCAACATTTCAACATTCTGACACTGGAGGATTTGGACAAGCTGCTCTTCTTGCTGTTGGATTCTATAAAACCCTCCCAGGGCAGTGGAGGCCTGGTGCTTAAGGAAGGTGTCTTATATGAAGAGGATGTCATTACTTTTCAGTAAACTTGTCCAATATGTCACTTCCTCTTTCTGCACTTTTGACATGCAATTGTATTAAGGGTGGGAGAAATGCTTTCACAGAATGCTTGTCCCGCCTCTAAACTTACATAAGAGATTACTAGTATTTTTAGGCCTGGTGGTGAAACTGCAGCCTCAGTACTCATTAGTTTTGAGTAAATTCCCTTTTTGATGGTTTTTATACCTTATGTCAAGGTTGTACTGGCCAAATACAAAACTGACATTTTTGGCATTTGCAAAACAGATTGGACTTTCAATCCTAAATGGTTGACTTCTTGTACCTCCAAAACAAAAGTCCAAGTTTGTGCTGAGATATAAAAACACAACTGAACTACTTCTCTTTTTCAGCTTTACACAAAGCAAATATGTGTGTAAAGAAATATATATATATGTATTTGCACAGTTAGCACTCTAAAAGTTTAAGTGAAATAAAAGGTCATTAATAGAGCTGTCAAAGTAATACATTCATTGCATTTAATAATAAGTGAAATTTTAATCAGATTAAAAAATGTATATTATAGTTTTTTCAATTATTCCACCGTCTATCGTTCTATTTTTGCTCTGATGCTAAGGGTGTGAAATGACAACATTTTTGTTAGTTGTAATCACAATTAATCATGATTATTCAAGATTAATCAACACTACCAATTATGTATTTTGCCAGAATACAACAAATAACAACAGGTAAATGTATACGTTTTTATTTGTGACTAATTCAAATGATATAATCTTTATTATTATTATCATTAAATAATAGAAATATATGCAAAACCATATCATTCAGATCTTCGGCTGATGAGGAGGTTAAATGGAGAGCCAGGTAATGAACTCCATCATTTGAAATAGTCACATTAATTATTGCTGTTATCACTAATTAATATTAATATACACAAGTTGGTTTTTTTAAATTTAGGAACATGGATTTATCTGGACTAATGACGATTAATCGCGCTCATCTACGGTTCATACAGATTATTCGGATTATATATCGTTTATCGTCTTAAATGTTCCGTGGTTACAGTCAAAGTTTGCATGTGGCTTTCTGCCTTTATCAGTGCATTATGCGAGACAGCAGAGACCGTTGTCTCCCGCTGGTGCCACGGGCTAATGTGCAGCCGACTGGCGCTCAAGTTTATAAAGCAACGAGCCACAAACACGTCAGCTCTAAACCTGCTCTCTATGTATCCTGGTTTCAAACGACGTTTGAAACGAAGTCTCGAGTGTTCGTGTTGGCAAGAGCCAGCTCCACACGCCGCTCAGGTACGAGCAGCCAATGGGAGCGCAGGAGGGGAGTCGCTGCGCAGCAGAGAGGCGGTGCGCCCGGACGCACACAGAGCACACCTTCAGATGGAGATGAAGTAGCAGCAGCAGCAGCAGCAGCAGTCGACCGACAGAGAAGCTACAGCCCCGTACTGCGGATCTGAAGGTTTGCTTCGGTGGGGAGGCAGACAGGTGACAGAGCAAACCGAGCCGGACTGGTCCGCTGGAGATTCCTGCGTCTGACTCTTCTATCCTCCCTAAGACTCACTCAGATTTCCCAAATACATGCATTTCTGTACTACATGCCCTCAAATTTGATCGGTTAAGCCCAGTGCACCAAAATGGAAAATGCGCACACTAAATCAGCAGCTGAAGTTTTACACCACTTCGGTGTGAACGAGAACACCGGGCTGACCCAGGAGCAGGTCAAAGTCGGGTTGGAACGATATGGACCGAACGGTGAGTACTTGAATGTTACGTTTTTATTTATTTTTTTAGCTCTGAGTTGCCGTGTGTTTGTGGCTGTGACGACTCGTGTGTCAGGAAATGCACCCACCGCTCTGATCACTGACGGTCCGTGCGCGCAAAACATGCGCGTAAACCCCTGTGGCGCGCAGTCAGTGGAAATGTAAGCTGCATATTCATTGATGCACATGCTGGTGTGGAAACCATTCAGAGCGCAAGGCACGAGTTAAACCAGCTAAAAGACACACACGGACACACACATGTGCTACACTGACGGGCTGATAGATACACGCTGATTAGTTAAGTTCATTTTTTTTTTTATCAGAGTTTTCCAGATGTCACTCCGGGGAGAATTTCTGATCTAAAACACCCCTGTGGTACTCCCTAGACAAGTATTTACACAGGATGTGTGTGTGTGCGTGTGCGTGTGTGTATAAGACATCCCTTGCCTGTCAGGGACCAGGAAGTGCAGGGCAGGCAGGAACACAGGCTGCTGTTGGAATAGAAGATGAGTTGATGTAGATGATAAAGAAAGATCCTGAGCAACCTGTTTTTGTATTTCTTTCTTTCTTTCTTTTTTTTTGACTTTCAACACGTACCAGTATCCAGAAGGCTGGTACTTTTTAGTTCAAGTTACATGATGACAGAGGGAAGTGAACATGTAGAGGAACTTGTGTTGGACCAGGCAGCAGCAACAATGATCAAAGGGCCGCTGACCTTTGTTGTCAAAACAGGAAGAGAGCAGATAACTGTGTTGGTCAGGTGTGTTCCAGGTTCATGTTACATTTTTAAGAAGCGTGACCTGCTCTCAGAGACGTCCTCTTCACTACACCTAGCTGCTGTTATTTGTTTTTTCTTTTTGTGTTAATCTTGGTCACGGACTTCAGCACGCCGTCCTCTGTCTCCTGGCCTGTCATTTGCATGTGTGGCCAAGCTGTCTGTGCAGTAGAGCGCCACATTGTGCCAGTCATACAGTACATGTTTTGTTGCAGCCAGCCACCCTACCCAGGGGCTTGTGATGACTTCATGGAAAAAAAGCAACGTCTCACCACAGATAACATCTCTTTTGCTCTTAGCTGCGAACTTCCTGTCTCATACAAGTGTGTTACAGAGAATGAAAAATGGCTGAGGGAATGCCTTATTTTCCTCCTCAGGAAGTACTAAATACAGGTTGACCACTCTTTTTAACCAATGTCCCCCCCCCCCGGCACCACACATACACACACACACACCTCTCGTCCATCGTGCTCCCAAACCTAACAGTTTGTAGTTTGTCAGGTCACTGCTGAGTGATTCGCGGCTGCTAAGAAGTTCCGTCCCCTTTGCACACAGACCACAGACTCCGTTGTCGTTGACTGCAGAAACCCTCAGAGTTTTTTTTTGGTCCAGGTTGCTGCTGGTGTGATCATATACTGTAGCATATTCTCTTTTGCTGTAATGCATAGCATGAACTGATTATCAGTGAGATCATGACTGAAAAATAAACATATCTACAAAGTCTCCACTTCACATCAAAGCTGAGCGTCTCTTTTTTTCCCTCCTACTCATTTAAAAAAAGCAGATAACGTTGTTCTGTACTTTTGATCTTTAAAAAACGATGCCTCCAGTACCAGCAACACAGGCACACACACACACACAAATACACATAAACAAATAGTCTGAATCAACCTCCATGTTTCACACAGCATAATAAAACTGTGACCAGCTGAGAGTTAACCATCACTTAACCTTTTTTTTATAAAACTAGCAACAAGCCAGAAATGGCCCTTAATACGTAACAAACAATAGTTTAAAACACACACACACACACACACACACTTGTTACTGTAAGGGATCTTTTGCAGACTATGGTTAAGTTACGTGTCTTCATGACCCAATTTTCAAAGTGCCGTTAGTTCCCACACAGATAAGCAGCAAACACTGATGTTTTCTTCTGGAAATGTCAGTCATTGAAAAAAAAAAAAAGATCTCAATAAAATACTTTATCTCAATAACTGATTAACTGTAACTTTAAAAAAAAAAAAAAGATTCTAAATAGTCACTTGACACTCCCCTGCAGGACAGGAGCACATAATTGCGCAACATATTCAGGTTGAACAACCTAACAATGCATGTCAGTGCACCATGTTGTTACAGACTACAGACAGGCTGTAGTGGAGCAGCAGTCAGTTCTGTCAACAGCAGTGTCAACAGCAGTGTCAACAGCAGTGTCAGCATCTGGTGGTAACAAGACAAACACGTCTACCTTTTCATTCACTGGCACACTGCTGCCTTATCTGCACTCCAGATTCTGGACTTCGTTGACACGTTTTTTGTGTCCTATTCACCTTGAAACCTTTTCGCCGTCCTCACAAAACCTCTTTTGGTTTCGGTGCACTACTCATTTGTAAAGATTAAAATGACAATTTCCTGTAGTGCGATCTCACTCGCAGAGTTTTTTTTTTCTTCTTTTCTTCCTGTTCTGCAACTTAACATGAAAGTTGACTGAATTGACTGGCCTCTCTCACTTGAGAGCTGTTTCCTGCTCCTCCTTTTTCACTGACACACATTTGTGATGCTTTAATGCAGTTACACAACGTGATAGGTAGCTGTCTGCTTCCAGTGAAAAGCATTCGATCGAGGACAGCGGTGCCTGTACAGTACGTAGGCTGAGAGAGTTGAGCTGTACAACAGTCGCCCGAGTCACTTCCCTGTTTTGCGGTGCCTTTACTGGAGCTGTGATCCTGTTCAAGCCTGTCACTTCTCTACCACCTCTTCATCTGTCAGTAGCTGTCAAGCTGTTATGTTGACATGATGCTGAGTCACTGGGGCCTTCTGTGCTGCTGCTGCTGCTGCTGCAGTTGTTTTGTAGCTGGGATGCTCTTGCTTGTCATGGATGCCTCACTGAGGACATGTACAGTCTACAAAAAAAGTGTAAGAAAGTGAGACATACATCAATAGAGAACACATTCTGAGAGTACTTGACTGCATAATGCAAGTGAACAAATGGTACATTTTAAAATAAAGTATTGAATATTTGTGAATATTAGTGAATATTTAAACTAAATGCACTGGTCTACTGTGTAAGTCATGTGCATTTGTAAAAGGTTATTGTTTAAAACATCAATCCGCTTAGTTGGTCTAAATAAAATATTCACAAGGAGTACATACAATTTAGATTTAAAGTCTAGATTTTGTTTGTTTTTTAATCTAAGAATTGTAACTAGCAACAGCCACATTTGAGCTAACACTTAATCACAGACTTGCCATGTGGGTGGATGCTAAGAATAGGCTTAGAAAAGTTTTTAATATGTGAGTCAGGTTTTAAAGGTTTAGAAAGTTCACACTGAATTCTAACCTCAATTTAGAGGAACAACATACTCAATGGTGGTCATATATGCCATGTGTATACATATATATTTATGTCAAAGTTCCATTTGGATATATTTTTTAATTTTTTGACATGCCCCAAATCTTCTCCAGGCTTTAATGGGAACTCCTCGTCATTTGAATGCATTTCTACCCTCTACTGGAGCTCCTTTCATCTGTTTGACATTGTCTGAGAAAAATACTACAAGCATTGTCCTACTGATGAACACAGTACCATACACAGTACTTCTCTATGACTCTTTTTTTGTTATGCTTTTAACGATACATTTAAAAGCACAAATAATCCATTGTTGTCTGGAAGAACAAGTAGATCAATGGTGGTCTGGCTTACTTCACCACACAAAGACTAGACAACATTCTGTTGACCCACTAATACATGGAATATATATATATATATATATATATATAAATTTGTTGGATTTGAATTTGAACTAGAATGATCAGATCTGACTGAAACCAAACTACAGTACCTGGATGAGCCTGATAGGTGATAAGGTGTGGTCTTTTGAAGCATCAAGGTTCATCGTTGTTTTGTAAAACCTCAAGGAAGTGGACATTCTAAAAGGCTGATTTAAAGTGTGGAAAAAGTCACATACAGTTTAGGACAATCCTGCTTTTTATCAGTTAGATGTTAAAGTTTCTTCGCCAAAGCTGCTAGGGTGCTGAGTGACAATACTAGCTTGTTGATACGTTAAAAAAATGGCTCTTGGCAGAGCTGTGACTTTAAAGAGGAAGGAAGCCCAGAGCCCTGGACAGATATTAGCCCTGCTAATTATCTCATGCACGTCCTGCTCAGTGACAGGCTATTTTCCATCATGTTTTTTTTTTTTTTTCTCTCTCATTTGTGCTCACTGCCCACCATAGAGCACTGTTTGTACAGAGTGAAACCAGACGCTTTTATATCTTGTGATTTTAAGTGTTTATATAAACACAAATCTTAACGTGTATCTGTGAGCAGCAATATTTATCTTTTTCGCAAATTTACATTTCAGTATGACAATAACAAAAGTTGTGTGGCGAATTAATGAAACAGAACAAAGAAATCCACTTTTTCTGTGACTGCAGGCGGGCTGGTCGACCACCCACAGTAACACACCTTGTCTAAGATCTAAATAAAATAAATCTGAAATAAAAAAAACCAAATCAAATAAAACTAGAATGATAGATGGTTGTGGAGATAAAGGTTTGTGAGAAACTAATGCCTCAGTTTTAAATTGAATCAGGTGGATGTATCCAAAGCTCCAGTGAGCTCCTACAGGGGTCAGAGGTCATTCTGATGTTGTGAGGGTGTGATCCTGGAGTTGCTGTCACACAGTGAAGCACCGGTACTGCACCTCCATTCACATAGTCTCACCATATTGTACCTGTTCGTTAGGAGACGTGTTACACACTTGCTGTCACTCAGTGCAGCCTGGGAAGGCCCTTAAAAGGCCGCGTTTACTTTGATTGTTCAGCGTTTCAGTGTTTGATGTCTGGGTGTTTGTAGTCTTGCTGATTGCATAACAGTTATTCTTAGTAAATTTTGACTTGACTTCATGAAACGCTTGTTTTCATGGAGGCTTCGTGATCCAAGTTGCCATGGTAACTGCTGAACTCTTGTCACGTTTTTTTTTTTTTTTTAGTTTCAGGAGACGGTCTAAACTCCAGCTTTTTGATCTGTGCCTCGCCACACTCGGCTGTGATGTTTGCGTGAATCCTCCTGATCGGGATCGTAGTTTGCTAATGGGCTCTGTCAGGCAGAACATAGTAAAAGTGCTGGCAGTGAAAGCTCCTTTAATCAGAGCGTGGTGTTCAGTGTGAATCGATGTAAGGCCAGTTTCCTGCTCTGCATCCTGAACCTCTGGACGGACAAACTGGCCTCCTGCTGTTGCTGGCAACTGTCTCCAGGAAGTGTTTCCCTCGGCCCAGCACTGCTTGCTCTGCTGCAGATTGTAAACAAGGCCTTTTATTCATTGTCTGCTGTGGCAGGGCAGGGGTGGGGAGGTATTGTGGGGACACAGTGAGTGTGTTAGGGGTGGGGAGTGCTGGTGGTTGAAGTCAGTATTTAGGAATGTGCCTGGGCAAGCCTCAAGTTGACACAGCCCAGATGACGAGGGAATCCTTGGCAGAGGGAAGCGAGGGAACCCCGTTCAACGGCTCCAAACTTTTCCTCCCCCTCTGTCTCTCTTTCTATCTGTCTGTCTCTCTGCCTTTTCGTTTGTCATGTCGTCTCATGGAGTCTGCCCTCGAGCTGCAGCGAGGCCGTCTGCCATAAAAACATTAAACTGCCAGGGAGGCAGAGTAATGGGAAAACAGGCTTATGTCAGACTGGTGGAGCATGGAAAACAGCGAAACTCACTTCTCCACATTTCTGCTGCTGATGCTGCCAAAGTGCAGCTGAAAGTCCCTTTGGAGTTCAACCGTGTCCAACCTCTGCTTTGAATCTCCTCCAGAAGACAAGTTTATTCACAGTGACTCATCAGCTGTTAGTGCACATGTAACCAGCAGACACAGGTGACCTCTGCACAGGGGTCACTCATCCCAGGGAAGATGCTGACTATGCAAAAACTAGAGTGAATGAAATGTTCGACAACAGGGCTGCAAGAATTCATTTAAAAATGATTCACTCAAAACATTATGAAGATAGTCATGGTTCCCTTGTACTACGATGGAACTGTTGACCCATATGTTGGAGTGGTGAATGATAAATTGGGATAAAATGTAAAAAAAAAATTAATTAAACAAAAATCTTTGACCCGTCCACAGTACTAATTTGGTCCTCCAAAGGGTTGTGGAACCCGTGTTGGAAAACCTCCGAATGAATCGACCAAAAATGTCATAACATCCATAACAGAACTTATATAGTACTGCCATGCTGTGCCTTTCTTTTTCTATGACAGCAAATTAAATATCCATATTTACAAAACAATTTTAAATTTACATTTTATTTAGATTTAATAAACAAAAATCAAAACAGTTAAATACAAATACCCTAATATGGAGAATGTGTCCATAATGTGTTGTTTATGTATAAACGAATGAAATCTTTAATTTACTCTGAAATGTAATGGGGTATTTTTTTGGCTAAATAAACTTCAGTTTCAAGTGACTCCCTTAAAACCTAAAATAAGATGTCTGTACGGCGGCCTGGTGTAATTTGATTGACTTTGTTGGTTTGTAATAGGAGGCTGTGTGAGCTAATGTCACAGGCCGACCTCTTTCCAGCCGGCCCCTCTCTCCACAGGATCCTGTTCGATTCTTGTGCAGCCCAGTCTGGCCAAAACATCCAGGTTTCCACTGCTCAGCGGAGAACACTGCTGTCATTTAGGGTTACTGCCCGCTGCCACCTAAAAATAGCTCCTTTTTCCCCCTTATTATTTTGTAATGCAGCTAGCAGTTTCATTTCTTTGATGGTCCCTTTTGCCCTCAATTATAGGCCTTTTTTTTAAGGAGTTGAAGAAAAAAAAATATCGGTTGGTGAGACAATGTTCTGGGGTGTTGGAAACATACTTTTCTACATAACAACTACTAAAACAAAAATGGTGTTCTGACCGTCACGCTCTTTCAGTGTAAGACGTGATCACCTGACTCAGCGATGTAGTGACCGATCTACTCTGTGTTGCATAGTGACAACAGTAGACAACATATAGTTTTTTTTTTATCGTAATTACTGACATGGTCCAGTTAAATTTTGCCATTTTCATTTTCCATTTCACCTTAAGATCAAAATCCCGGTTAGGGGCAGTTGGCGCCTTCCAGTGGACTCACCACCCGCAGGAAGGATCAGGGGGTTGGTACGGTGCAGTGTGATTTGGGTGGTGGTCATGGAGACCGCTGCCCCTGCGACCCGGTAACGGATAAGCGGCTGAAAATGGATGAATGGATACTACTTGTAGTAGTACTTCATTGGTGTTTTCAAGGAATGCTTTTGGTAAACAGAGTTCAAATAAATATTTTCATGTTAACTGATAGCATGTCTGAGCTCATGAAAAATCCGGTTTTCATGACGATGCAAGAGAAGCTGTGATGATTGGGTTGTTACTTTAAGTTAAAAAACTCCAAGACATCCGCAACACTGTATCACTGCTGCTCCACTGTACCTCCATCATGGATGTTGTTGTCCAGCAACAGATGATGTCCACTAGGGGTTTGACGTCTATGAAATTCCCTGTCGGTATTCCCTGACCACAACCCACAGTATTTGGTCAGACCAGTTCCAGTTAACCTGCTATTTGAACCTTTTAGCATGCGTTAGCATGTTGCTGCTATGACCTCTCTGTACTTGGCCTTTGCTTCAGCATATTTTTTAAAATATATACAATAATATAAATTAGATAAACAAAATGAAGGTTAATTATACAGGTGTTTTTTGGAAACATTCCTTATTTCCTCGATGACAAACTCGTAGTTATAGTTTCCAGCAGCAGCGGCAGCAGCAGCAGCAGCATCAGCAGCAGCGGCAGCAGCAGCAGAGTATGGCTCAGTGTGAGAGCTGTTGTGGCTGTGCTGCTGTCTAATGCGCTGCAGTAAATTGTCATGTCTAGTCAGAGCACATTAACGTTTAAGATAAGTTGATCAAATGTATTAACTTCTGTTTGACTTTCTCTCCTCCCCCCATCCCTCTCTCTCACTCACTCTCTCTGCCCGGCCTGGCTAATTCAATTCCTGTACAACTTGGCATGGCCTGACTTCTACAGAGCTCCCAGCTGAAGAAGGTAAATATTGATTTTTTTCCAGTCAGCCTGGATCCTCTTCTTTCTGTCCTTACTCCCTGATTAAGTGTCCTACGCCAGGATCTTTTATTTTCTGTGCACTCTGGAGCAAACTTTAAGAGAGTCCACTGCAGCGTTCCACCCACTAACGCACACACGCACACACACACGCACACATACACCACTACTCTACAGCGACTTTTGTTTCACATTTTCTAATTTAAAAAATAAAATCCAATCATGCAGCACAGAGATACAGAACATCATTTACGATGTTACAAACATCTGTGCTTGTGTTTGAAGGAAAGTCTCTGTGGGAGTTGGTGGTGGAGCAGTTCGAAGACCTCCTGGTCAGGATCCTGCTGCTGGCTGCCTGTGTTTCTTTTGTAAGTATGCTCACACACAGCTAAACATTGTCCTAAAGAGGTTAAATGTGCGGTCCAGATCTGTGAGGTCTCTACTGAAGGTTCACACCTGACAAAGGTCCCCCTTAGGTGTGGACAGCTTCACCACCCACTTAACTCTTTGTCTTTCTATTCAGTCTGTGTTTTATGGAGACTGCATTGACGACGTTTCAGTCCCATACCCTTTAGTGAAGAGAGCCGACACTGACAGCTGAAGTCAATTGGAAATGCACATCCCACTGTGAGCCTGGTTTCCAGGCGAGTGGTGCCGGTCATTGAGGGTGGGGCGGGGGGAATCCTGACTGCATTTCCGTCCTTTCCATCATTTCCAACATGTCTCTGGTCTCTGGGGATGGAATTGCTGTTTCTATTTAAATGTCTAGGAAAATGTTTCTAAAAATGTATGACCCAATAAATCTTTTTAGTGGCGGGCATAGAGTGCAGTCCAGGGCTGGAACTGCAAGACTTGGGAGTATTCACTCACTTTTTCCCGAGTAGGTCAGACTTTTTTCTATTTTAGGAAGCTTGTTTACAGTGAAACACACTTTGTGTTCCACTGCTGCTACTCCACCACTCTATATCACCAGCCTTAAAAGGAAAGACTCAAAACAAATGAGATAAAAACAAAACTATAATTCACTTGTAAAGCCAAAGCTCTGTTCTTCAGTGTTTATGCCCAGTTACTTTTGTAGATGCTGTTTATACAATTGTAACATTTTCTCACCATCACTTTATACGTTTCAAATACATTTCTGAAGAAACACCACCTCTTCATCTCGCCCCCTCCCCAGCTTCTGAGCACATCCCCGTACAGCGTTGTATCATCCGCATACTGCTTGACTCTCCAGCTGTTATCTGATGATGAATAATATTTAAATTCTCCTGAATAATTTGCTTCATCTGTTTGCAGACTGTGTTGCCTACAGTCTTGGCAGGGAGTGGCATGAGAGGAGTTTTTCAGCTTATATTCAAATGAAGATTTTACATCTCTCCTCTGCTTCGTGTGCGGTAATCCTTAAGGGTTTATCTGAGGTGAAGGATGAAAAAAAAATTAAACAGAAGGAAAAGTAGTTAGTCTACTAATCATCAGTGACCTACTGGAGGATGAAATAAAATCTGTTTTTAATATAACAGTGTTCTTAAAATATTTTAATATTATTACCTTTTCATTTGAATAAAGCAAATAGGCACAGAAAAGCAAACAGAGACAATTGGCTTAAACAAAGCTGATTTTCTTTTTTTCAGCGACATTAGGTTGAGTTTAAGCGAGGACAGGACTGAAGTAGAAATATATTTATATATTCCCTTATACAAAGGAGGCTTTTGAATACTTGGGTTTATTATTATGTTAAAATTATAAAATGTCTTTTATTAATATATGATTTCACAACCAAAAACTCAACTGGCTTTCACAAAGAGCGTGACATTCCAGTCTGGAAAAATCAAAAGCTTTTTCAATTCTTAGCTCTCCTTTTTATAAAATGTTATTGTTAAACGACAGAGTTTTTCAGCCAAATCTCTGAACGTGTGGTGACTGAGAACAGAGTTTTTGACGAGTCCTTGTCCAAGGACAGTCTTTCACTTCCGTCTCAGGTTAGTCCAAGAACCAGATTTACTGTATGTTAACGATGAGACTGCCTAATGCTTTTAAAAGAATTTCCATTTTTTTCCATAAAATTGTTACATTCTAATGTCACACAAATCAACTTTATATAGTGTGAAAAGTACTGTAATAAAGTACTTTCCTTTTTGTTCTTTTACATTAAATCGAGATAGAAAGAGGAACAAGAGCTGCTGTGATGTAGCCTCTGTCCATTAAATACAAAATGTCCCCCCGTAAATATTTCTTTAATATTTCAGTTACTGAGTTTTTTTATTGTTGAGTTACTGCAGTGAACATCCAAGACATTTTAAAGCAGCGTAGACGAAACAGGCCCTGCATGGACGCCTGAAATAGAGCCGTGACTGTGTGTAAAATAGTGGAGCTCTCAGTCATGTTGATGTGCACCGGGTTAAGATTTGATACAAAATGAAACTGAAAAGAATGACTTTGATCTTGGCCTTTCACTTCTCTCTTTGCCAGTTTCAGTTATTACATTTGTCTGATATGCTGCAGAATTTCATTGCTTTTTATTTCCGTTTCCATATCAGGCTTTGTGTGTGTGTTCAGACCTGTGTGTGACTGACTGTCAGTCTGTAATAAACTCTGCATGTTTTTTTGTTTTTTTAAGTTTGAAAAACTCTTTTTTTTAAAGTCTTGTATTTTCTTAGTGTGTTTTACAATCAACCATGTGCATAAAGCAAAAAAAAGTTTCACTAGAATCAATATGACTGTCCATCATGAGGATCATGTAGTGCAGTGTTTGCCAAACTTTTTTTTTGAGCACCCATAATTTAAAAGTCACAAACCTTCACAGCCCAAGTCATTAGACATTATTAGTAAACTCCTGAGAAACATTATGCGAGATGATCCAAAAACAAATCTCTTGCGACCCACCTGAGGGTTGCGACCCAGTCTTTGGGAAACAATGATGTAGTGTGTATTTGACAGATTAGTGTATAATTTATTGTTTGTTTCCAGTGCCTGCAGCCACTGTTGGTCTTCAGTGTCCTGCTCTTGCAGTTTTTCCAGTCTGAAATGTTTGCATCTTCTTTAACAGTTTTTTGCTGCAGACTTCCATTCACTCTACCATTTACTGTAATTCACAATTCTACGCACATCGGGCACAAAAGAAGCGTGAGAATCTGGGGCTGTGGCCACACACACACACACACACACACACACACTGCAGCCTCTGTCCAGATAACATTTCAGTCTGCCTTTCTTTTTCCACATTTTCCTCACCACCATTTAGACAGTTTTCCTGAGAACGCGCTCTTTGAAAACCTTGTCTGTCTGCTCTACATTCACGTAGGTCTTGGCTCTGTTCGAAGATGGAGAGGAGACAACCACCGCCTTCGTCGAGCCTGTTGTTATTCTTCTCATCCTCATTGCCAACGCTGTTATTGGGGTCTGGCAGGTGGGTGCACACTTTTATGTATTCACTGCATCCGACGGTGACGGCCAGCTTCCTGTTCATGTGTGTCAGTGTAACTGTGTCAAATCAGCACATGATAGAAGCAGAGGTTGTGGACGGTGGCACATCCATCCTGCTGAGTCTCATTTTTATTTTAATAAACACACATTTTGATAAAGATATTTGAAGGAAAAAAAAACAGTTATTGAAAAGTAGTTCTGTTGAAGTGAAAAGCTGAGGTTGAATTATTTACACAGTATATTTTATACTGTCAATTCAGATACAAAGGTCTTCAATTTTAGGACAATCGTGGCCCACCAGTCAAAAGGTTTGCCCATGCCTGGTCTAAAAGGAGCTCATGTAGGTGAAAGGTCATTTTATTCTAAGAGGGTAACTGGACCCTTAAACCATTCCAGTTTCCCACTTCTAAACATCATTGATTGAAGTGGAGCTTCACCTCCATCTGCCAAGGATGAGGTTCCTTACAATCTCCTGACGGGCTGACAGCCTACCACAACCTTGAATACACACACCCTCTGCTGGCCCACGTTATTGTACATTTAGAATTGGAGAATGAAGATTCCATTTTTTTTCTTATTACCTCAATTTTCTCATTTTCTACTGTCTAAAAAAAAAATCAATATTTTTTTTCAGGAGCGAAATGCTGAGAATGCCATTGAGGCCCTGAAGGAATATGAACCAGAGATGGGAAAGGTTTACAGGATGAATCGCACGGCCGTCCAGAGGATCAAAGCCAGGGACATTGTCCCAGGAGACATCGTGGAGGTGGCAGGTAGGATGAACCTGCAGACTCCAGCTAATGTCTTACTGACGGTCATTTGGTCAAAGTCCTGCTTTGTCTTCATCCTTCAGAGTGTTGTCGTGACTTGTACATTTCCAGTGGAACTGACTTGCACCGAAACACACGCTCGAAAATCCATCAGTACTCATTCACGAGGCTGGAAATACTGCTGGAATATCTCAGAGCAGATTTACATGTCGCTATTTTGCGTGTGTGTGTGTGTGTGTTTGCCTGTGTGTGTGTGGTTGTGTGTAAGTGGCTGTGGTCACCTTGTATTTAAGGCCCAGTTTATTTTCCAGCACTCTCCCCATCCCTTAGCTTTCCATGCGCTCAGTCTCACCACCTGGGCGCTGCTGGATGTTTGTCACACTCACACTTCAGTCTAGTTACCCCGCTGTGTGGGCGGCCTCTGTCCCTCTGGAGGCTGCTAAGCTTTAGGCGTTCAAAGTTTTTCGGGGTTCAATCTAAGCCACTGCACAGCCAGTCATTTGCGGTGAAGGATTATAGGAAAAGCTCTGATGACACTGAAGCTTCGACTCAATTTAACATTTGCAAAAGCTTTGTGAAATGAAATGACAGTGTGAGGTGAAGGAAGAAAAACTTCACAGAATGGAACTGAGAAGCAAGTCATCATTTCACATTCTAGGGAATAAAATTGTTGACAGGAATAGTGAAGCCTCGGAAATTGGCCTCATCACTAATGGAATAATGATTTTTTTTGTCTGCATCGTCTTAAACATGACTGCAATAAAAAAAGATAGGCAAATGTGTTTCTTTTTTATAAAATCTATCAATAGTTCAAACTAAGGAGTGCACATTTTAGAATTTCTGCAAAGTATGTCAGAAATAGTGAGGACAATTTAATTTTATATTTTTACACAAAAATAGCAAATTGTCACAGACTGATGATTTAAAATGCAGACTTTACCCTGTGAAATTTAAAGAAAAATGTTAGAAAAGTTGACATCAAAAATGTACAAGTCATCATATGGGTAAAAACTAATTGAGGAAAAACAGAAATATGGTCAGGCCCTAATGATTATTCAGACTGAGTCTGTTCAGGGTTCCCACTGATCATACAGTAGTAGTGTAATAACAAAACTGTTTTTATTATAGGTGAGATTTTTTTTTTTTTTTTTAGTGACATGTAGCCTTTCCCTGGAATTTGGGCTTGTATCAGCCGGTTTTCCCTATCACACATATGTGCACGCAGTCTTGATGCAGACAAGTCCACACAGGTAGCGAGCACAAAGATGACTCCACTCGGCCTCCATCTGTCACCACTACCGTCAGGCACAAGTCAGCGTAGCACTATCCCCATGACGACGCGCTGTGCCCGGCGTATTCCTGTGTCGCTGAAGTTCACAAGACGGCGAGGTGCAATGCCACCTGTGAAGATGACGGTGTGGAGGAAAGAGGGATTTTAGTCTCAGTGAGGGAGCTGCAGTCAGATGAGCGATCATGTATCATAGCTGACAGTCAGCAGGGGCTGGAGGACCCCCCACCCCCAACCCCCTCATGAACCCCCCTGAGACACAGACTGTGTTGAAGTGAGAGTTTAGAAAACTATTTCAGCTGAAAAATAGTCTGACAATTGGTACAACATATTGAATATTCATGAATACCCCCCACCCCCCCCCCCCTCATGAACCCCCCTGAGACACAGACTGTGTTGAAGTGAGAGTTTAGAAAACTATTTCAGCTGAAAAATAGTCTGACAATTGGTACAACATATTGAATATTCATGAATAATTATTCATTATTATGTATTATTATTAATGAATGTATGTATATATATAATTATATACTGTATGTATTTGTATGTATATATATATTTCCACATTAGTGGATTTTTTTATCATTAATTTACCTGCAGAGAAAAAGCAAAATTTTAGAAATTAGAAATTTGGCTAAAAAATAAAAAAGTATGTGTTTGTGGTGTAGGTGTTGACACTGACAGTGTTGAGGGTCATACTGTCCAAATGCCTGAATCCTGATGTTTGTGTGTGAGGGAACCTGTTGATAAGCAGCCCCTCATCTGACCGCACCAGGAGTGTCGATGTTTATTTGAAGATAAGATATGGCAGCGGTATCATGCACCCTGGTGCTGCATTTTTGTCAAATGTACACAGTCGTATATTCAGCGCTTGGTTCTGTCTAACATGATGTTGTTGCTAAGCAGTTAAAAACAGGGGTAAACAGCCGAGGCCGATACTGCACCACACGTTTCTCTGCCTTAGAAAAATATGGGTTTTGGGATCTTCACGCGCACCTTTCCGACTGAAATATGCACAGATACCGTGACAAGGAAAACAAATTGGTATTTTCCTTTCCTACATTAATTTCCCAGCTTTTCCTGTACTTCAGATTAGCTGGTGGTTGTTCCATGAACTTGATGTTGGGGGGTAAAATAAACTACATGCGGGAAAAGCACACTGCTGCCCACAAGAGTCTTTGAGCACAGAAATACACAAATATATTTACTCAAGTTTCCACAGCTGCTGCCTACCTGGCTCAGTGTTTGTGCACTCCAGTGATTCCAGCAGGTTTTACGATGTAGTTGTGATTCATGCTTCCATTAAAACTTTCATGTATTTTTTTTTAAATAAGGCGAATGACTGCTGTGGTCACAGTGTTTGGGTTCATGTTTAATCTGTGTGTGAGTAGTAGTAAATTTAGGTGAATCAATTACCGAGTAGGGTTGATGAGTGATTAAATAAATAGTGAAGAATTTAGGACTATTTTATAGAAAGAAAACTCGATTATGTAGCAGTGAATGTATAATTTTAAATTCCAAACAGGATCAAATTTAAAATACAAAATCATCAAAGTGGAGCCAGTCGACCACAGGATGACGGTGCAGAACCAACAATCAGAGAGTTCGGAGCAGCAGTTTCAGTTCAACTCTTTGACTTTGGGAGCTGTGTGACTGATGGCACTAAAAGTCAAGCTGTCATTAATGAGATTAAAAATCAAATATCCAATTTACTAAAATGAATTTGTTCTACTGCCTGTCGCTGTGGACAGATTGCAGTGTTCATCAGATGAGTTGAGCTCAGGCTGCAGTGACATTCAAAAAACATCTTTCCTAAAACAAGCGCACGCGTTGGAATTTAAAGCGCTCCCCCACAGATGGAGAGTGTCTGTGGGAGGCCGTAGCATGCGTCTTAAAAAGGCCACTCCTTCCACAGTGAAGCTGCAGCCTCCAGCCTCCTCCCACACCAACTTCTCTCATCTCACAACTTGAGGGTGTCAGACAGAGGACGACAAATGGAAATAGAAACACTTCTTATTTAAAAGATGGTGATCCGGCTGGTGTCCACAATCATTTAAGGCTCCTCAAGACTCAAGGTCAACTGTCTCCACCGATTATCACACATACAGTATATCCCAGGATGTCTTTGTTATTGGTAGTACAGTGTATCTCAGTAAAGGTCAAGAAAAGTCAATTACACTCGTCAACATCTGTTCCTCTCTTCTCTTCTGTCTTTAGTATTCTGACGTTGGTACCCAGAGTTACAGATGTGTGTGTATATTTATATATATTTAGTGTATGTATGTATGCATGTATATAAACAGTATATATATGTGTAGAATGGATGGAGAGAGAGAGGGAGAGACGTAGAAGATAAAAGAGGACAGTAATCATTTTTGTTTGAGGCGTCCGTCTTATCCCAGTGTGAACAGAAGGTTTCTTTGCTCAAGGATTTATTGCTTGACAACAAAGGATTAACAGGGGTGTGGCCGCTCTGTGGTTACACCTGTGTACTCCAGACATACAATGAAGGTTACAGAACAACGCTGTCCTCTCTCCTCTTTCTTTATATTATCTGTGTTACGTTGGCGTGTCTTACTGTGAGCTTTTAAAAACACTTACAGCTGTTTGATGGGATATACAGTATCTGATGGTTGGTTGGTCCTTGTTTTTGCTCCTACACAGTGATAAGGTCTGAACCTGTTAGATAAACCTCAGAGTCATCTTTATTAGAGGAACCAATATTTGATTCAGTCGGTTAAAACAAATGAAGTTTAGTTCTGGTTGATATTTGATTTTCTTGGGAAGAAAAAAGAAAAGACTCACACGTAGGTCATAGTCTTCACAGAAGTGTGACTTCAACATTTCATTAACGGTTTCTTTATCCTCCCTTGTTTTTTTTTCTTCTGCCCTAAGCATGTCCAATTAACTGTGTATCTTTCCATCAAACAGAAAAGCTAAGGCTAAACAAACACAGTTGAATTCTGTACACAACTGAGGATTAACTACTCCTAAATCTAATTAACTTTGTCGTTCACAGCAGCATAAGGACAGCTGACCATATTGCTTAAAGCTCCCGGCGGCTAAGATTAACACATTTTTCATTATTAGGTTCCCAACGGCCATAGGTTCCAATACAAATGAACTCAATCTTTGCATATCTTTTGTATCCATTCTTTAGTTGGTGATAAGGTACCAGCAGACATCAGAGTGACCTCCATCAAGTCCACCACCCTTCGAGTGGACCAGTCCATTCTCACAGGTAACTATCGGCTCTGAAGGTGACCATTTATCTCTACTGCTGTCTCTACATCTGAAACCTGAAGATCTGGTTGATTAGAGCTTTTCATTTCCGTCTTTAAGGGGAGTCTGTGTCTGTGATCAAGCACACCGACCCAGTTCCTGACCCCAGAGCTGTGAACCAGGACAAGAAGAACATGCTGTTTTCTGTAAGTGTCCCACTGGGAATCACTTGATTCACATTTCCATTTATTGAAATCTTTAAATTAATTATTTTTTATTGATCATACTTGGAATGATGATTTCTGCGCTCAAGCCTTTTGTTTTCGTTCAGGGCACCAACATCGCTGCCGGCCGTGCCATCGGCGTCGTGGTCGCCACCGGCGTTAACTCAGAAATTGGTAAAATTCGCAATCAAATGGCGTCTACGGAGCAGGAGAAGACGCCTCTGCAGCAGAAGCTGGACGAGTTCGGACAGCAACTCTCCAAGGTCATTTCCCTGGTGTGCGTTGCCGTGTGGGTCATCAACATCGGCCACTTCGGAGACCCCGTCCACGGCGGCTCCTGGGTGAGAGGGGCGATCTACTACTTTAAGATCGCAGTAGCTCTGGCCGTGGCTGCCATCCCTGAAGGGTTGCCCGCTGTCATCACCACCTGCCTGGCCCTCGGCACGCGTCGCATGGCCAAGAAGAACGCCATTGTCCGCAGCCTCCCCTCTGTTGAGACTTTGGGCTGTACCTCCGTTATCTGCTCTGACAAGACGGGCACTCTCACCACCAACCAGATGTCCGTTTGCAGGGTAAGTAGGAATCTGGGAATAAAAAATACAATTCAAACAACGGCTTATTTTCATTAAACAAATTAACATGAAAACAGTTTAGTTTAGTTAACCATTTTCTAAATGCTAAACAATGAGGCCGGCCAGTCTGTTGCCCCTGGTGGACAGTGAAACTCTGAGTGTTCTTTTATTTCCAATCTGGCCCTTAAAATATTTTTTGGATTCCCAGAGGATCCAAATACCCTCAATGGCGCCTCCTGTGGTAGCCTGTGTCAGACTCGCACTGTAAATTTCCCCATTGTGGGACTAAATAATAATAATAATATTAATTATTTTAATTTTATTTTAATAATTATTATTACTTATTACAAATGAGTATTCCTTGTGTTCCTTTTTATGCTTGACCTCTGTCAAATATAACGAACCCAAAAGAAAAAAAAAATCTTTCTTAACAGAAATACAAAAATAAAATCATCACTTTTGAGACTCAGACCACTGTCAATAATTCAAAAATGTCATGGATCCTATTGCTCCCTCTGCCCATTACGTACAACAACACTGCGCTTCTCCCTCCTGTGATGATGTGGAGCATCTGTGTGATCGGTGCGTCAGCAGCAGGGAGTTCCCTCTCCGGGAAGATCCCAGTGCAGTGATTCACCACTCTGCTGATTCTCTCTCAGACGGCAGCACAGAGACGCAGGCTCACATTGGTCAATATTGACCTGAGTCTTCCAGTGTAACTGCCTGGCCAGCTGCACTCAGCTGTCTTATGGAAGATAAGGCAGCACATTAGTAGGAAAAAAAAATCGAACGTCCTCCTTTTTCTCATCGTAGTAATTCCTGGAGAGAGTGATTTTCCTGCTGGTAAAAGCTAATCATGCAGCTTTCACCTTTCACGTCTTCTGGACTTAATTTGTTTTAATGCATACATTCTTTTTATTATCCATCCATGCTTTTCATTTGGCCTTAACTGCAGTGGAATGCAGCTGCACACACTCTGTCAGCCATACACCGGTTGAGGGCAGTTATTCACCCTTCATCCTCGTACGAGCTCTAATGCCAGGAGAAGGAGAGCGCAGTATCACTGCGTCACGTTGATGTCACGCTTATGCTCTGTTCCCTAGGAGACCGCTTCAGACTGTGAAAACTGACCCTTGATATAATACAAAAAATATATTATTTTTGTTTTCACACTAAGCTAGAAAGGCTGATTCTTAGAAATACTTCCAGGCAGAATATGTGGTGAATTTATTTATAGTAAAAGCTGATGTGGGTCAAAAATGTTTTTCGGACTTTTAATCAGTGCTAACACTTTGCTGCACTGTGGGAAATAGTTTTGTATATAGCAGACATCACTGTGATGTTTTGTTTAGCTGCAGCAGGTTTAAGCTGGCACTCAAAATGATGTGATAAATCTAATCCAATTTTCTATCGAACGGTAAAATTTCTGTCTGTTGGTTCTGCTCTGGATCATCAGGTAGAACAGGTTTCTTTTTAACTGCAGATTTAGTGTTAAAAACATTATTCTGCTAAGCTGCAGCCGATGTGTCCCTGGGCACAGTGCTCCTGACGTCGGTGCCAATAAAGTCTGAACCAATAGCTGATGTGATAGAAACGAGTGTTGAATATCCTGCACTACATGTTCATCATTAACCGTCACTTCACCGTTTGGGTTTTTTCCTTTCTCTCTCCAGGTGTTTGTAGTCGACAAGGTAGAGAGTTCAACCTGCAGCCTTCATGAGTTTTCTGTGACTGGATCGACTTATGCCCCCGAGGGAGAAATGTAAGTAACTGTGTGGTGTTTTACTGAAGGTCATCAAGTTCTCCTAGATGTTATTTTTAAAACTATAAATACAGTACATATGACAGGCTGAGATGTAGTCTATGACAGGGGTCCCAAACCCTGGTCTGCGGACCTATACCAGTCCATGGATCCTATGGTACAGGGCCTCAGCGGGCTGCAGTGAAATAATTATTAATGTACTTCAGTTACTTTATTCATTTAAGGATAATCTGTCAATTTTTCAAATGAACACGTCTTTTCACACTCTGATATTAGAAGAATAAAGTCTTAAAGATGTCTTATTTTGAAAACGTACAGAATCTTAATGATTTTTAATGATCAACGGTGCCGACCAGTGCCTTCAAATTAAAAATGAATCAATCCAGTGAATTTTTGAATGAATTGAATCAGGTTCACTGTGTAAAAGGCTTCTAAAATTCTGCCATTATTTTCATTGAGTTTTCCATCTGTGATGGGACGTTGGTGGGCGGTTGAACACTGCAGAGAAAGACTCTCATCCGTCGGTTGTGTGTGTGCGTGTGCGTGTTGTTTACCTCGTTGTTGGATTACAGCATCCTGACTTTGCGTGAACCTGTTGATTTCATAACAGCAGAGTGTGGGTTATTGTGTGGGAGTTGCAGTAGCAACCGTTACAGTCTATACTGGGAAAGAATCCATGGTTGTCATGCAGTCAGCGCCACTCATCAAGAACATGAGCGCTCAGAGAGGACGAGATGAATGTTACTGTACTTTCAACCACACCAGTGTGTGTGTCTGCCCCGCTCATGCATATGGATGAGGTTACAGCTGCTAAAGAAATGTGTGTTTTCAAGCTATGTTTCACACACATCTCTGTTTCTGTCTGTTTATCTGCGTGTGTGCACTTTCTGTATGTGTTCTTTTTTCTAGATTAAAAGGAGACAAACCAGTTCAGTGTGGAGACTATGATGGACTTTTGGAGCTGGCTACAGTGTGCTCCATGTGCAACGACTCCTCCTTGGACTACAATGAGGTCTTTAACACGCACACACACACACACACACACACACACGCTGCAGAGTCGTCTCCACTTGAGCAGAGAATTTTTCTCTAATGAAAACTCCTATTCTCTGGTTCTGATTGCTTTCTCACCTTTTTTTGTAATCGTCCCGTTATCATGGTAACCATGCTGAGGAGCGAGGCCACGGAGGAGGCACGTCTCCAATTGCATTCTTAGACCAAATGAATTAAATACAAATTTGGTTCTCTTGTGAGTAGTGCGTTACATTTTTAAATAGAGCCTGAGCGATTAAAGAGAGATTAAAGTTTACTGAACCGGTGAGGGGAGAACGGTGGTTGGGGTGAGGCGGGGGCTGGAGGGTGAGTCGTCTCTTATTGCTTTCTGTGCTCTCACAAACAAATGATGTGTGGTATGCCATCAGTGGCTCATCTCACCCACTGCAATTTTCATTCCGACCTGCGAGGGTTCATGTAGAGAACCACTCTGCTGGTGTGACTGAGTTCGTGGATGACGAGGCAGATGACCCACAGGGTCGATCACAAGTAGTTCTGTGTGGATTTGGTCTTCATACCGTCAACAGTCACTGAGGGTGACGCTGTCTTTCCCAGGGTTTGGGCCTGAACTCTGACTAAATCACATGACGTACAGAACACTCAGTGTTACATGTCTCTTTGTTTCTGGCACAGGCAAAAGGAGTCTATGAGAAGGTGGGTGAGGCCACAGAAACCGCTCTCACCACGCTGGTGGAGAAGATGAATGTCTTCAAGACTGACCTATCTGGTCTCAGCAAAGTGGAACGTGCCGGGGCCTGCAACTCGGTAAGACGAGCGTGGAGTTGGAAAAGTGAACTTTTCAAGTCCAGACAGATAATTTGATGTCATCTTTGACAGAAATAGGCACTGTAAAAACAGATCCTTCTCCTTGTTATTGGCATGAATTTACTTTATACAAGATAATAGTTTTGATATGAACAAAATGATACAACGCTCAGTTTCTCTAAGGCAGGTGTCAAACATCTGGCAAGGGGCATCCCGTGGTCCACCAGCCTTCCCACATCGGGTCGGAGACTAGATTTCAATAATGGTTTCAATTATATACTTTTTATATATATTTATATTTTTTCATCAAGTAAAATTTGATTGAGTTGATCATTTTAGAACGGTGGAAAAAGATTTGTGATTGTTGTTTACACTGTTATATCACACAGTATTCATAAACAGACGTTCTAAAATATCTGGGTTTCTTTGTATTCAACAATGATTTTTAAAAGTCATGCAATGCTCAGGAGCAGCTGCAAAGAAAAAAGAAAAAAAGAAATGAAGCCCAGAGCTCTACTGCAGAGTAACTTAAAGCCAAACCAACAAGGATCAGGGTGTGGAGGCTGTTGACAGTTACATCTGTTTGATTTACAGGTGTTAACCTGTGCTATGGTGCCTTGAAATATCACCGATAAAGTATTTAAAAGTCGTACACAGCAAGTATTACAGTATTCTAATACTGCATAGATTACAGTGCAACAGTGTGAGTATTTTGGAACATCGAGTAAAGTTCATATTTGCATCATCATCTGCTGGTTCGCTTGACTGGAGATTGAAGTGGAGTTTTATCATCGTGACCTCTTAGCCTTTCAGATTAGCATCAAACCTAGTGTCACAGGGACACCTACTGGTAGGAGTTGATGTGACATGAATGAATAAATATTATTTACTCTTCCTACAACAAATCACAGATTTGCAAATAATAATAAAAAAACACTGTTGCAGGGTTGTTTTTAATAATATAAAAATGTTAAGTGAATGGACAAAAGACGTACCTAAAATAAAATTCATATTTTGTGTGAAGACCCTTTTCCAAACTCCAGTTTTTTTTTGCATATAGTTTTATTTCTTATGCCAAGTCCTCAACACGTATGATTTATTTGTTTGCTTCTGAAGCACAAATTAAATCCCAGTCCACCTTAAAAACTTACATTACATTCAGAGCTACAGTTTCCCTGACTTTGTGCAGGATTGTTTATTAAAAGTAAAGTTCAGTCAGAACAATTTAATTCAGATTTGATTTGTTTGCATTACAGTCTGATCATTATGAAGAAAATGAACATAGATGATGATCATAGGCTTGAAATCTTTCTCTATATTTTCCTTTTTCAGTACCTGAACTGAAGTTGAATTTCATTTCCAGTTTCAATGTTCCGATCCTGAAATAACCTTCGTGTTGTCAAAACTTCACTCTGTCATTATCTTAGCAGAACCTCTCAGTCTAACAGCAGCTCCCAGGCTGTAATCTGCCCACACACAGTCACTCAGCTGAAGCTTCTGACTCTTTGTTTTTTTTTTTTTAAATGATGATTTCTTTTTTTTCTCCTCTTCTCCCTCTCTGTTCTTTGTTTTCATGCGTCAGGTGATCAGACAGTTGATGAAGAAAGAGTTCACCCTGGAGTTCTCTCGTGACCGTAAATCCATGTCTGTCTACTGCACGCCAGTGAAGCCAGGCTCCCAGAGCAACCTGTTTGTGAAGGTATGAATACATGTGGAGAAACACACACCTTGCTTCTTTGTGTCATGAATTTTCTTTTCAATATTTGTCGTCTTTCCTTGTGCTGATCGTGATCTGTTCACATAGGGCGCTCCAGAGAGTGTCATCGAACGCTGTCAGTACCTACGTGTAGGAAAAGGGAAGGTGGCGCTCACGACGGCTCTTCGTGACCAGCTGCTGTGTAAGATCAGGGAGTGGGGGACGGGCAGGGACACTCTGCGCTGTCTGGCTCTGGCTACTCATGACTCACCCCCCCGTAAAGAGGTCATGGACTTGGAGAATTCCAGCAAGTTTGCAGAATATGAGGTGAAGTGGAGAGTGACGATAGAGTTGATTGAACTCTATTGATCCTGCACTGTGGAAATTGTTGAAGAAAAAATACATCTAGTAACATCTGAACCTTCAGGTTTTAGAAGAATGTATTTTAGACTGCATTGTATATTAAGCCAAAGGTTTTATGTAACATTAATTCTTGTTTCTTGAATTTGAAATGGTGTGATTGGACAGAGTTCTTGTGCTGTAGCAGTACTTTGTGGTAGATTTAAAAAGATCTAAGCCTTTCTTGGCTTCTCTTCCATTCAGGTGGGTCTCACATTTGTTGGCTGTGTGGGCATGCTTGACCCGCCCAGGAAGGAGGTTATCGGCGCAGTGAAACTGTGCAACGAAGCGGGCATTCGTGTTATCATGATCACAGGAGACAACAAGGGCACGGCCGTGGCCATCTGTAGACGAATCGGCATCTTCGGAGAGGAGGACGATGTCACTGGAAAGGCCTACACTGGACGAGAGTTTGACGACCTCTCGCCGGAGGAGCAGAGGGACGCCGTCAAGCGGGCGCGATGCTTCGCCCGTGTAGAACCGGCTCACAAGTCTAAGATTGTTGGATATCTCCAGTCATTTGATGAGATTACTGCCATGGTAAGAAAAATTAAGGGTAAATTGAGCATCTCACATTGATTGCTTCCACTTTTTAAACCTTTTTTTAATATGTTTTGACTTGATGAAAATGTAATTTCACATTGCCCTGGCATGAATTTGACGTACAAGACGAAGACAGTTAGGCATGACATTCCTCAGAGGAAGTCTGTTAGAGGATTCTGTTTCAGAAACTGCTATCTTAGGCTGTCAGCTCCAGGCCGCTCTGCTCCTCCCTGTCAGACACACTCTAAAAACAGGGCATGATCTGAGGGTTAGACGGTCGGGAGGATGACAACCATATCAACACTGGCCTGTCAGCCTTCACCCATTAACGCAGTTTAAATCTACTTCAACCCTGTTACTACGGATCAATATGTCTCTCAGCTGCAGCTGGAGGCTGTCTCTGTCTGAGACACTGAGCTCCAGGAAACTGCAGTTTGTCAGAATACTACACACAACAAAGGGTTTAAAAGCTAATGTTTAGACTTTGTGTCTGTTAAATGTTTGTGTTCTCATTCATCAACACCACACAACTGTGTCTGAACGTTGAATGAAGTTTCTGAACATTCAAAAACATATGATAACGATACTGATATAGGCCTGGTGATATTTATTTATTTATCTTTATAAACCACTGTGTATGTTGCCGGCACCAGCATTCTGCATAGAATCCCCTGCTTATTAAAATAGATCAATTAAATGAGCTGCAATGCTGCCATCTAGTGACTTTAACTGTAATATACTGTTTATGCCCAAAACTATTTTTAGGACACAGTTCATTTGGGGAAACCGTTGCGTTGTCAGGTCTTCATCATCAGATAAAAAAACGATAACAATTTTTACAGATATGACATAATTATGCTAATATCGGGGCGATAATATCGGTCGGGCGATGTTATCGGACATCCCTAATATGAGTGTATATGAATGTGTCCATGTATTCGTGACTCACTGATGAAATGGGCTGTGTTGTCGTTTCAGACAGGAGATGGCGTGAATGATGCTCCAGCCCTGAAGAAAGCAGAGATCGGCATCGCCATGGGCTCCGGAACGGCTGTGGCCAAGTCTGCGTCTGAGATGGTTCTCTCCGACGATAACTTCTCTACCATCGTCGCTGCAGTGGAGGAGGGGAGAGCCATCTACAACAACATGAAACAGTTCATCAGATACCTCATCTCCTCTAATGTTGGGGAGGTCGTCTGGTGAGAACCAGAGAAGAACGTAATAACCTTTTCACTGTGGTAACGATCTGTATCGCCGACATTCACGCGTTTCTTTTGTTTGGCCTTAGCATCTTCCTTACAGCCATCCTCGGTCTTCCTGAAGCCTTAATTCCGGTCCAGCTGCTGTGGGTTAATCTGGTGACAGACGGACTTCCTGCCACCGCCCTGGGCTTCAACCCTCCAGACCTGGACATCATGGACAAACCTCCACGCAACCCAAAAGAACCTCTCATCTCTGGCTGGCTCTTCTTCCGATATCTGGCCATCGGAGGTAGTCCAACTTACCTTTTTTCTAAAAGTGGTAGAACTGATTGCACAGTGTAACAGAAATGAAATGATCCTCAGTTTGTCTTCATTCTGCAATACAGTTAGTCTGCCACTAGGAAGTGTTTTTTACTGAACAAATAAGACTTAATGAATTAGGAAGTGGGAACTCTTTGGGAAAATTCAGTTTGAGCAAATATTGAGCTACAACTTAAATCAAACAAACATAAATTCAGTTTATAAATTTAAATGCCAGGCACCATTTCTTTAATTTTTGGAGGGGAACTGTTGAGGTTCTAAACGTCAGAGGTTTCACTTTTAAACTTCACAAACCAGTACACTGTAAGAAGATGTCATGTTTCTGTCTTCCAGGGTATGTGGGACTGGGAACAGTGAGTGCTGCCACCTGGTGGTATCTTTTTGATGAAGAAGGTCCACAAGTGTCTTTCTATCAGCTGGTAAGTCTGCCACGATGTATTTGCTGTCCTCTGAGGACATGGAGCGCTGCACACACACTCCTTCTAATCCTTTTCGGCCTCTTCCTTCTCAGAGTCATTTCATGCAGTGTACTGAGGACAACCCCATCTTCAAAGACATAGACTGTGAGGTGTTTGAATCCCGCTATCCCACAACCATGGCTCTTTCTGTGCTGGTTACTATTGAGATGTTCAACGCGCTCAACAGGTCAGACGTCCTATGTTATACTGTCCTAGTAAATACACTCCTGAAGTCACAGAGACTCACATTGTAAACCGTACTGTACGCTTTCCATAATAAACATAAATATCAGTGTCTTTAACTGCTAAAATATATATAATCACCGCCCTGTGTACTACTGTGTACTAATGGATATTAATATCCTGTATTTGATTGATTTGGCTTAGCTGCACAACTGAAGTAATGGATTATTGTCAGTGACTTCAGGGGGAAACTCACTGTTCTTTTACCAGAAATAGTCCGGCCGCAAATGACTTACTCAGCAGCACTTTGTAAGAAATGAGTGCTTCTGTTTTTTTAACAAGGCATAGATGAAAAAAAACTGTCTAAACAATAGAAATCTTCAAGGTTTCCTTCAAACCAAGGCTGAATACGTTTTTTATATTGAAAGCAAGCACGTTTTTAGAGTTGTATCTAAACATATAGGACACATTTACAATATTTAACCATCTTTCTTTAAACGATACATTTACTGTTGATTAATGTGAAAAAATCTCTCTTTCTACAGTTTGTCCGAGAACCAGTCTTTGCTCCGGATGCCTCCGTGGGTCAATATCTGGCTGCTGGGAGCCATGGTCCTCTCTCTCTCCCTCCACTTCCTTATCCTCTACGTTGAGCCTCTTCCAGTAAGTACCAGGATGGATTTTTACTGCTGTTGTAGATCACTGGATAAACTGAGTATAAATGTACTGTACATCAGGTCAAAAATGTAGAAAATGTTTTTTTATTACATCTAAATGTCTCTGTAAAACCCCCATTTAAATTTATTTTTCATTTCATGTTTTCTCCTTATCTTAAAATGACATAATATAACCAGAGTTTAGTTTTTTTTTTTTTTTTGTTATAAAAGGGGCTTCAACACCAACAGTTGTTCAGTTCCAACCTGACACTCAGCCAACACCTGTACACACTTTATTTGAGAGTCCAAACCTTTTTAGGTGTCTTACAGTGACAGCAGTTTCCCCCTAATTGTCAGCAGAGTATGTTACAACCAATTACAGCTGGATGTTACTGCTACTGTGATGGGACAGTACTAATATACTGTCACATATTCCTTCTGTTCCACAGTTGATCTTCCAGGTCACCCCTCTGCACTGTTCCCAGTGGATTATCGTCTTAAAAATATCATTTCCAGTCATCTTGCTGGATGAGACTCTGAAGTACATCTCCAGGAACCATCTCGAAGGTCCATTTTCTAAAAAGTCCTCCTTCGTTTGTCGATCTTAAATACCTAATGTTGATCACTGTAATTGCCAAAAAGTATCTGGTGACGTTGGAATTCAGATTTCACTAACTGCTCTTTCTTTCCTTCCTTTATTTCAAAATCAGCCTAAACCTTTCTTTCTATCTCACCTTCTGTGAATAAGGTACTTCTTTCCAACCTCCTTCATCCCTCACCTGCACTGAGAAACTAACTGTAGCTGTAGGCCAACCACACTGCACACGGCCTTTCTGAAACGCTGTTTGTTTTTCTTCTCCTCCTGCAGTTGATGATGAGATGAAATATCGGAGGAGATGGCAGCAGAACTAAGACGTCTGGCTCAACACCCAAAGTTAGATTCACGTCTACCCTCTCCCTTTTAGGAGCTTGGACCATTCTCTCTTCGCTTGTCCTCATTCTCCGCTCCCGCATGTCCAACAAAACACCACTAAGAATGAGCACGGTGTGTATGAGAATGAGAATGAGAGAGGGAGAGCAGATGAGTGGTCTTGTGTGTGTGTGTGTGTGTGTGTGTGTGTGTGTGGACAGACCAGTGCACGGTTTCACAGGTGCAGTAGTAAGAAAGAGCTGCAAAACAAAACAAGAAAAAGATGAAACCATCCAGTTTTTTTTCTGTTCTTGTCTGTACTGTGAAAACCTGAGAGTGCAGTCACTGGATGTTAGGGATGGATGGATGGATGGATGGATGGATGGATGGAGATAAATGGGAAATGGAAGTTGATGTTGTTAGGTGAAGGGTGAACGATCAGTTTCAGAGAGATTAAACTCAGTGTAAGAAAGAGACCAGTGAACACACCTGTGAAAGAAGAGCATCTTCAAGAATGTTGAATTTGAAAAAGAGTGGTCTCTTTAGGTGGTGTGTGTGTGTGTGTGTGTGTGTGTGTTAAATCAGTGCACAGGATCAGTATGTCTTTGTGTTTTGCCCACAAGAACATGATCTCTGCAGCAACATATCCTCATCAGCCCTGCTCCTGTTCATTGTGCAGCATTACTTTGATTTTTGCCTGGAATGTTCCATCCCCCTCTATCGCCCTCCTTCACTCTGAGGCAGCTGCAGCTGCCGGTGGTTGAGGAGTTTCCTGGCTCTTGACGTGTGTCGTGGAGGTGTTGCTCCCCCTCACACACACACACACACACCTCATGGAGTGAATAGCTTTACGCTGCTTGGCTGCTTCTTTCTGTTATATTTCGAGGAGTTGAGGTCAGCTCAGCAACTAAACCAGCATATTACCTGTACAGTTGTCAGCCTGGTATGTTCAACCTTAATTAAATGCCCATCTGCTGTGCTTGGATTTGATCTAATCTGTGGAGAATAAACAGCTGAAGGGTTCATTCTGTTCATCACTAATAATTATTTTAAGTCCTAATTAGGTGTCTGTGCGTCGCTTCTGCACATCCTGAAAAATCGAAAATAGTCTTTTCACCCTCTTAGTCATCAGATAATGACAAGTTATATAAAGTTAAAAAATGACATTTGAGTGTCACGTTTGATCCTGAATCTCATATATTCACACGTTTCACATCCCTGCCTTACACGGCCCACAGCATATCTGTAATGAATGTATTTCTGCCCTAGCCTTCACCACTTCACCCATCGCCACCGCTCTCATACATACATACATGCATACATACATACATACATGCATGCATGCCCTGACAGCGATAATAACCTCTGAATGTCCGCCCGGGCCGCGCCCTGTTTCTTAGGAAAGCCTTTCTGTTACATCTGCTCCCTCGGCTCCTCCAGCTCTTTAGTGTGACTGTCCCGGGTTATTGTTTTGTAATAAATAAATGATGATTTATGTGACTGAAAGAACCCATGGGGTTTTTGATTGTGTATTCAAATCTTATTTAGACATTAGGCACTGGACCTTGGTGCTCTGTGGACAGGGTCAGGGATGTTTTTGGTCTCATTGCCTTCATGCAGGAGAGCAGAGGGTGTGCACAAAAAAAAATACATTTGTAAAGGTGCTGGATATTCATGAGAATTAAACAATGTCCATACTGTTCTGTCAGCAAGTATTTTATACTGTTACTTATATAACTGACTCACAAACTAGCTAAAACAAAATATATAAATACATATAAATATATATGTGTATATATGTAGATGTATATACACATATATAAACATGTATATAGTTTGTTGGGTAAATACAGAGCAGTTTTAAAGCAAAATGACCATTAACGATATTTGTATTTCTTTGATTTTGATAAACATTTAAAAAGAGTCAAAGCTACTGTCAGTGCGTCACCTGCTCTCATGTGCTCCAACTGTAGTTTCTCATATTTCTTGTTGTGAGGAATAAAAACAAACATTCGTGGCAGTGTTGCTTTCCTGCAGCTTAGATGCCTTATGTAGATTTGTTGGTTTCTTAACTTAATTAACCTTCCGACGCGGTGTGAAAGCGTACGTCATTTTACTTTCTTTTCAAGCTTCAGTGTAATATTTCAACAAGTGGAACTGACTTCTCTAGAGCGACCTAGTGTGGAAATGTAAGATAAATCCCATATTTAAATCACGGAGAGTAAACCCGATACCTTCAGAGCACCACATTCTGTAGTGATCCACCGTTCAGTTTATTTTCCTCTCACATCAGAGGTTTTCTTGCCAAATCTGAATGGTATGATATGATCATGTCCAGACATTTCCTGTTCTTTTTACACAAACTTTGTTTTTCTAATTTTGAGTCAAATTCAGGTTTGTTTGTTTTTTTGTGAATCCTAAATCAATCAATCAACACATTAGTTAAGGTGAGGACAAAATATCAGTTTAACTTTTCCTTAAACATGGGTTATAAGTATACCTGACGTTGGCAGTATGTTCAGCAATTTCTTTAAATAATATATATATATATCTTTTCTAATTCTATGACAATAAAACACCACTGTTCAGGCCAGCAGACCACTTGTACCCACCCGAGATCCTCATGACCCTTAACAATCTGGTTGTAAAGGTCTGACCCTTGATATTTACTACTGAAATTTCAACTTTGTACAGAAGAGGAAAAAATGAGCGCATGAATCCCTGTTACTGTCCTGATAACCTGTACCGTATATAATATTTTATTTGATAACTTACATAGACAAAGTCAACTTACCAACAAAAGGTTCTGCAACTTTTGTTTTAGTTTTTCATTTGAGCACGCTCTCTTTCTTTGATTCTGCGTAGAATACTAAGGATGTTTCTTTATGTTTTCCATTGGATTTGACAGTTACTGGGTTTTTGTGTTTTTGGTAAAGAATATGATACAATAAAGTCAACACATTAAAGACAAGAATCGTACGCACGCTAATGATGACGCTGATCATGTCAGTGTGAGAACGTTCACAGATTTGTGAATGAACTGTGTCTGGTTTGAACTGAACCTGAAGCAGTGATGAATCCTGGCTTATGAAGTTTTATGACTGTACATTGAAGGGCTTGGTGCGGATGCAGACTCTGGAGACCCGTGACAATCTATCTTGTTTTCAGTCAGCTACAACCTCTAAATTAGACCGACGCATTCATCGGTTTCATATCAGTAATATGTGACTAATGGATTTTTGTCTACCTGTGTAGACAAGTCTCTAGAGCCTGCCTCCCACTTGTGAGAAATTAAAATTATTCTCTGTATTGCCTTGTTAATATTAATTGTGGAAACTTAATTTTATAAATGACAAAGATGTGGAAATAAAGATTATTTATCTTGTTATTTATTCAGATGCCGTGTTATTTTTGTGTAAAAATATGATTTAGATTATGTCACCTGGTTAGTTGCATTGAAACGTAATGATAATAATACGCATTAGAAGTGGGAAGGTTTACTAGTCTTCAAAGTGGTGTTTTCCAAACTTATGTCACGTATTTCACATTGGAAAAAGTTATTAATTAATTAACAATTACCCCCTTTCATCAGCAGAGGGCCTGACGTACAGACAAACTTTTGACCGGAACTTCTTGTTGGCGGAACTAAAACCAAACAAACCGACCGCATTTCTTATTAAAATCGTATCATCATGTGTCACTCCGCTAGCCTACCCTTGTGGAACATGAATAAATAGATATCTTAGTTACCGCTTAGGATTAAGTTTTGCCAGAACACAAACCATTGACTGGCTCTCCAATAATTATATATTTAATAATATTTTATTAATATATTATTATTAATATATTTTATATATTAGAATTAGGAGGGGATATATTTACATATGAAGTTGTGATCTCTGCAACTCCCACACTTCGTTTGGCTTACACAGGGAGTACATAAATACAATCAACTGTACAGCTCAGTTTGACAACGTTTAACCAGCAGGGGGAGGTATTGGCCATCCTTCCTGAATAATCTATCACATTGATTGTGTTTTCAATCAACAACAAATCTGCTTGAAATGGGCCATAACGCTCCTCCATCATAAACATAAACAGTGTGAAAAAAACCTACCCAGTCAGCCATAAATACTTACCTTTCTGCTTTATTGTGTTAGGATCCCTGTAGAATCTATGTTAGTGTTTCCTCTCAATTCTCTTGCGACCCATCACCAGGAGGAAGTTCCTGGAGCTAGGCTGGTGTCTCAGGGGCTTTGGCGAGAATAAGAAGATCTCATTAGTTTTAGACTGCTATTCCCGTCTTGAGACTCAAATGTCAACAGGGAACTGACACGGTGAAACACGAAGGCCTGCAAGGAAAACATGACACACAGGGAAATGAACGTTCCAAAATAGAACACTTTTTAATTTTAAATAAAGACAATTGTTTTTTGTTTCTTTTGGATTTGTTTTGTTCTTGTTTTTATTTTCCACTGTGTAACAGTGTGGTTCCTTTTTAATTCTTTATTTGGTTTCTCAACTAAAACCACAGAAAGTCATGAATCTCTACAAAACCATAATGTGACAATGGGTGATTAATGAGCACAACATGACAAATTGTATCTTTTAATACTATTTAGCTAAAAGTCACAAAGGGCTTGTGGCTGTCGCGGCTAAATGTTTAGTCAATGTGTACATTTATAAACACAAAAGCTCAAACAGAGTGAAACTTTTAGGTCAAAACTGAATAAAATCACACACAAAAAAGATTTTTATATCTTTGACAAGAACTGTTTCTAATGTGGACATCCATTATAGCAGGTTCTCACATGACAGCCAGCACAGGGTGATGGTTCTGCAGCGTGCTCTGGGATGATACAAGTCTGGAAATGGGACTTAAAACAGAAACCTTTAATATATTAGGGGTGACGCTTCTGTCAGGAGGGAGATTCGTTCCCATAGCCTGCTGTGTCAGGCAGTGTGTTTTGCTGCAAGGCAGAAGCTGTTGCCAAGAAACTAAATGAACTTGCTGTGAACTTTCTGCACAGGTGCCACTGGGAAGAAAAGACTCAGACTGAATCAGCTATTTGAAAACCAGTAGACTCTATCCATCAGACCACATGTGCAGTAATTAGACTGGAGGCAAGAGTCTGTTATAGGAAATTAAGCAGACGTCAATACTGCACATTTTCCATGGCTGTGTATAAAATACTCTGAGTTCACTTTATCTTGTGTCTTTATTTCTGTGTAGGTTCTTGGTCTAACAGGTCATTTTTCCTGGAGCAGTTAAAACAAGGAAACCTTTCTGTCTTGGTTCCTAGAATTTTTTTCAGACCTCATCCAAAAGGCTTCTTCATTTGTAACAGAGTTCTGAAATTCTAGTATTTAGTGTCAAAGTGGCTGAATACCTGTCCCTCTGATATTGTATTGCACTTAACACAAACAAAAACATATGAGTAGAACATAAAAAAAAACACAATAGAAAAATGTACAAAAATCTAAATGTAAACAGTTGGATTTAAGGCAGACCAAAAAAGAAGCACCTCAACAATCAAGCATTAATGTGCTAAACTTAGGGGTGATGTGCCGATTGACCCAAAAACAACTTCCAGTTGATATTGCACATATCATGTGGGTGAGCTGTGACAGGAAGTGCTGTAGTGTCTTACTTGAATTCAGCGGTTTTACAGCCTCTGGGAAGAGCTCTTCGTTCTGGTGCTTCTGCACCTGATGCACTAGAGGGGGGGGTGGGGGGGGGGGTACGACGACGACAAACAGTGCTCTGTGTTGGTCCTGATGCTGGAGGCCCTTCTCCTGCATCTCATAGTGTGCACGCCTATGACGCTGTATTGGCCTCTCACAGTCCTTTGTGCCTCCTTCTGTGCTGCAGAACAGATGCCGTACAACACAGTGATGCTGAAGGTCATCCCGTTCTCTACCTCACATCTTTAGAAGCTCCTCAACACTGCATTTCTAAGTCCAGATTAGGTCCTTGGTGAGGTTCATGTTGTCCACTGTTTCTGCATTTGTGGGGGTGTTGGTGGGGGCAGGGTGGGTGTCCAAATCCAAGTCCAAGTCCACATCATCGCTCTTGTCTTCTTAGCTGGACTCATCACCGCCGTGTCGTCAGCCAAGGTGAGTAATGGAGACATTGAAACTAACAATGGTGGCAACCCCTGATGAAGAGAAGAGGCAATAATAATGAAACAACAAGTGTAATTCAGGGGAAAAATATGAAAAACTCAATTGATTTCTGTCTGAACTCTGTTTCTTTTAGAAGAGGAAATTTCCAGCCTTCGCAGACTTATGTCATCTTGAGTTTGCTTTCATCAGCTGACGTACCTGATGTTAGCCATAATTGGGGCCCGTTGTTAGCTTGTGGCCTCCGAGCAATCATCTGCTCCCTCTGCACTGTAACTGCATAACAACATTATACAATCCACTGAGCAGCCTGACGTGTGGTTGCATGAACCTGCCTGATGCATTCATGAAAAGCCCGACATACAGTATAATTCTCTGGGGAATAATGGTTAAATTGAGCTACAGAGGACAATGATGATTTTCATAACCACAGTGGATGGTTTTAATACATAACACGTGTTGATGGGCTAAAAACAGGGAGTCAGGAAACGACCTCTACTTATCCTTAGTAATTACTAAGACTCTCAGATGAATTGTCATTTGGATAATGAAGTAGAATAAGGACCATTACAAGGACCAGGCACACGTAACAGACCTTTTTGCCCAATGTCAACTTGAAAATGTATACATTCCCTCTATAGAGGTGCTATAGATAGTTATTTATATACATCTAATATTGTAACTTGTTTTTAACAAAAGCAAGAAATGCATTTAGGAAGTAACAATTACCTACTCAAAATGCAAAAACAAACACAAAAACACCTTGGGAGAGATACATTTATGCTAAATTAGCTCACCCTTTCTGTAGAACTGTGCACCAGGTATTTTAACATACATGGTACATGTTTTGATTTACACCCCATTTTGAAACATCTAAAATGTATTTAAAAACATTTAAAAACGCCTCATTTTAAAACTATTTTTCAAACGTATTAATAAATGCAATGATAAGGTTTCCTGATGAACAATGCGCCAAATAATGATTGTATTGTTATTATTCCTTCCAGAAGAAGTTCACATGTATGTTTTATTAAATATTTAAATTTTAAATTAAATCTTGTAAAATCAGGTCAGAGAATTAGGTTAAAGGCAGAATAATGGTCATAATGCTGTTGAACATGGCGTGCTTTAGGACCCATAGATCACATTCTTGTGGAATTACAAAAGTTGTGTGTGCGTGTGCGCGCGCACGTTGCTGCTCTGCAACAAGAGCTCAGCAGCTGTGGACAGTGAAGTCAGTCTGCCGCTGGGTGTCTTCCCACCGTAGACGACACAGAGCGGGGTGGTGTTTTCCGGAAGAGAGGGCGTGTAACATGGGACACATCTAGAGGGTAATCACAGCTGATCTGACCCTGGAGGAGTCCGTCTGGATGCGAGTCTGTCACAGGGAATCCACGACAGGCTGCGCGCGTCCAAGTGGGACCCCGTTTCTTCTCCTGTGGCAGACACGGTTGAAGAAGGGTGTAAAAAAACGACCAGTCTGTCGTTTGGGTAAGGGAAACTTTTACGTTAAAATGCATGTAGGCGAAAGTGGTGTGGTTTGGCTGTTCGTCAGTCACTGCAGTGTGAATGTGCACAGAGCCAGAGTGTTCCCTCTGCAGATTTGTCTAAGTAGAGTAACTGCTGCACGTGTTGTACTGCTGTGCTTTGCATCCAAGCTCCACATCGTAAGGAAAATGCATCCTCATCCAGATTGTTGCTCTACATTCGTTTAAAGGCATAGTGCACAGAATTAGAAAATAACTCAGAGAATATGTAGTTTGAATAATCGCCGTGGTCCTTTGAGAAGGTCAAGGCTGGTGTACAGCAGCAAAGTTTCTACTCTCTCTGTATTTTCCTTTCAGTTGCAAGTGAAAGGGAATCCCTCTTATCAACAAAGAAAGAAAAATCCACTAGGTGTCAGTAATACAAAGATTCTGCACTGACAGTAAAGCATATGAAGAAGCAAGGAGGCATAAGCAGGGTTTCTTCAGCCCAGAGTGGATTAGATAGATAGAAGACAGTTCTGCAGTTAATTCCACAATTTTAAAAATTGGACTTGAAGAGGCAGAATGTAGGGTTGGAAGGCAGGGTGTCAACAGCACCACCAACAGGCCAGGGAAGATCTACATGTTTAATGTTGACCAACACACGTCTACAAACGTCACCTTTAACCAGTCTTACAGGCGAACATACATATGAACAGCCACAGTCTGCACCGTGTATTTGGAATCAGCATTGAAACACAGCAGGCTATATTATTCTACTGGTGTGTGTGAGAGAGAGAGAGAGAG